GAGTTCATAATAAAATTCATCCACCATTGGATACCTTCACGTGGACCTTACAATTCTCAAAGCTTCTTGGCATTGTAGTTCTTTCCCTCATTAAAGATGTTCAGTACACTGAACTGTTGAGCACCTTTTATCTTTTGGTCCGATTTTCAAATGCTTTTTTGCTTCAAATCAAAATTTGTAACCTCTTGATTTATCTCATAGCTGGTTAGTTCAGCTCATGGCTTATAACAAGATTTTAAAATCCTTATGGAAAAAAAGAATTGGAAAAATATGTTCGCAACCAGCATCACTAAAAAGTGGGCACTGTTGCACTTTATTAATCAGCAAATATATTATAATTGTTTGTGACTGTGTTGCATTATACAGTGCATTTTGGCTTTTACTGTGGACTTTTATGAACTGTCACCTAGTCAGGACAACTGGAGTTAACAGAAATCTTGAAATAATGATGGAGGAACACGTTAAAGGACTTACCACATCATCTGGGTCACAATGGTCTATGGGTCGATGAGAAGTGTTAACATCTCCCAATACAATCACGTGACTGAAGAGACAGAGGAATGGGTTAATCAAACAAATAGACATCTTAGATCTTTTTTGTAAGATCTCTCTCTCACCTCCCTGAACTCAAGATGGCTTCAGCTCTGCATTGGAGGAGCTGGTAAAACTGGAGCTTGTATTGTTTTCTCTCAGGTTTGTCTGGATCAGCTCGGGGACAATAAACATTGATAACGGTCAGCTTCTGTGGTCCATCTTTGCCACTGAGAATAATACAAAATATGTGAAAAAAACGTTCACAACATGTTAATGTCTAAGATCCTTAAACTTACATGAAGTGATGCTGAGTGATGACAGCCCTTCCTTCATTGTCCAGCGCCAGAAGCTCCTCACTAGACAACTCAACCTGGACACCATAGCAACCAACAGCCTCTCCCTGATTGGCCAGCAGACCTGTCAATCCTTCCTCAGCCAGGAACGGGGTAGCAGTGTCCTTACAGTAGGTCGCTACGCCTGGTCGTGGAGGAATTCAGGTTGCTCATTGCAGACAGTAATTGTACAAACAAGGCTACGTTTATTTTTAACATTTTAAAATATGGACATGAATCCGGTGTTTAAAACATTCCAGTTTTAATTGCAAGTCACTTTACTGTCGTTTAATGGTTCTGTGGGCTGCTTTACCCGAGTATCCACTTCGTCCTCGGCTAAAACTAAAGTATGAATTGTAGCCATCAACAATTGCTGTCTTCTCATCCAACAGGTCACCTGAAAAAAAATGTATGCTGAACTGTTAAAGTTATTCAATTGTTAAAAATAGGGCACATGTGCTTTATCAAGCCATTCAAAGTCCCGCGTTTCTTTAAAAAAACTTACGGGTAACTTTAGTCTCTTGGACGCAGATTATATCGGCATCGAATGAATCCAAAATTTTCTTGATGCCATTTTTAAACGTTCGAATGCCGTTTATATTCCATGTTACAATCTTCATGTTTATCTGTCAAACACGGTCGGACGATTCAAGCTGAATGCAATGTGTGAAGTACTGACCTTATTTTTGTCCGTATCAAATGTTTTCAAAATAAAAGTCTTTACACCTGGGTTTATTCTAAATACTACTGGTCTGAATGTTAGACGACTGGCCCTGTAACCAGTATGCCGTTTTCCACAATGCATTTTAGTATCTTGTATAATTTATTTTAAAGATACATTTTTTTACAGAACCACTTTTAAAAGAAACAAATATACAGAAGCCACAAGTACATTTGATAACCACAATACAGTCATGCAGAAATGTTAAAATATACAAATTTTTATTAGTGTTATAACTCACCCTATTTTTTCTCTCTGATGTTTCTGAAATTTTAGATAAATTGAAATACCTGGATTACATTTAGTTACATTCATTTTTTTAACTTGATTTTTTTTTAGATTTCTTAAAACGTTCATCAAAATACCATTTCATATTACAACATTTCAGATTTATTATTTTTAAAAAATCAATGGTCACTTCATGGTGACTATATTTATTTTGACTAAATAGTAGCTCATATAGTATATTCATTATTTAACTGTCTGTGCTCATGTTTTCTTAAACATCTGACTGCAAGGACATAAGTATTTTTAAGATATAGTATAGATTGCAAGAAAACATACAGCATGTTTAGTAACTGAAGCCCTGTTTTGGCCCCAGTATAAGTCAAATGTAAACATGTTTACTCAAATTCAAAATAATTAGCATCCAAAAAACAAAAAAAATGTCTAGGGAATTTATGTACTGCACTGTAGACAAACACACATCCCAACATCTACAGCCGAAGTCTGTTATCAGTCTTGATCTGAATGTTTACTGAAAGGAAGGGTTTGTGCTTGCTCAGCTAAGTCAAGGATGACAAGAAGACTTTTCCATGTACACCAGGACAACATATACCGAACTGCCTCTTATCTAAGTGCAAGGATTTTACTACGCTTCAATTTTCTGATCATCAAGACAGGTACAGTACACACCATACAACCACATATGATAGTATATAATTTACTTGCTTAAAAAAATAGATTTATTCTGTTCATATTCAAAATGCTATATTACAACATTGGCTTACTGAATGTTCATATTACATTTTTTCTCTACATAAACCAGTGATCAGTAGTTCGTTATTGAGTGAATACAACTTGGGGGTGAATATTTATTATGGAGTGAACAAGTCATTTTATTGGATTGACATTTTCTTGAGAATGTGACATTTTAGGCTTACAGAAAGGTTTAGACAGAAGAAACAAACATCTGATTTATTTTTCTTTTAGAATGGAAGTAAAGGTGTATGTCGAAGGAGTCCAGCGCATAGTTTGTGGAGTCACTGACAAAACAACATGTCAGGAGGTGGTCATCGCTTTAGCACGGGCATTTGGTAAGTTAAACTGGGCCAACATCTTGGAGCTAATTATTTCATGAAACAACTGTCAAAAACATGAACATGAAGAAATCATACAGTTAGTCTGCAAGCATTTGCTGAAACTACTGAACATTCATAAGAAGGTCAAATGCCCTTAAAGGCCTTAAAGGGACAGTTCACCCCCAAAATAAAAATTTGGTCATGATATACTCAACCTCGTATTGTCCCAAACCTGTACTTTATTTATTCTGTGGAACATAGAAGATATTTTGTAATTTGTCTCAGTGTTTTTGTCCAAACCATTAAAGTCAAAGTTGTTTTGGACCACAGTGATTTCCATTATATGGACAAAAACAGTTCATATCAAAATATCTTTGTGTTCCACAGAGGACAATTTTGGAATGAAAGAAGGGTGAGTAAAACGGTTACAGTTAATGTTTTGATTAAAAATTAATGTTCTGACTCTCCAAATCCCTGATAATATTAAAGAAGTAGTTTATTCTAGCTTGTACTATTCTGGACAATGTTTGAAAGTTTGTATTGCTAGCTCTTCTTGTGTTATATTGCCTCCTTAAGATGAATTGATTCATCATCTGTAAGTTGCTTTGGATGAAAGCATCTGTGTTTGTCCCAAAAATATCACTTTTAATATTGTTCTCCCTTAGGTCGCACTGGTCGATACACTCTGAGAGAAAAAGTAAAAGAATATGAACGTAATGTGACTCCAGATGAACGTCTCTTGGAGTCCTTGGAGAAATATGGTGAGCAAGCTAAGGAGGTGCAGCTCACTTTGAAGCATATCGGTCCATCCCTTGGGGAAGAAACAAACCAGCCCAAAGCCCAAATGAGGCGAGCGGAGGGGACAGGGAGAGCACGGAGAGGCAGCGGGGCAATCGCCCTACACCGCCAGAGCCTCCCACTGCTGTCACGCCTCTGCATCCACTCCGAGCCACCGCCCGAGGAACCGAAGAGACCCAAGCGGAAGTCGCTAACGCTAATGGAGGAAGCATGGGGTTGGCTGGAAAACTTGGGCAGAGGTGGGAAGCAGCAATCAGGACGAGATAAGGGGACAAACAAGGAGGGCAAAAAAGGAAATGGGCACTCGGATAACACAACCAAAAATTCCCTGGCTTCTGGGACACCGGAGCCAAGAGATAAAAAAGACAAAAATAGAGTTGCACCACATCAGCCTTTGATCAGTTGCCTTGGGAACCGTGGGAGATACACTGATGAGAGTGCTGTATGTGAGAGACGAGAGGAAGAGGAACGGAAAGGCACAGAGGAGGACCTGAAAACCCATAATCCAGTGGTCCAAACAATCCATCAAGAGACCGAGAGTAAAGAGACTGTAGAGTTAAGAAGTCTAGTTGTCCAACAACAGGCAGATCTGCAAGAACTAAAGCACAAAATTAAGTCAACGGACCAGTTGATCCTTGAGCTAGAGCAGCAGCAAGCTACCAGGGAGCTTTCCGAGCTGCTGTCAGAAGAAGACGAGCAGCTCAAGTTCTGGCTCAATGAGCTCAAGGCGGAGGAAGTCTTTGAGAGAGACCTTCAGAGGCATTTCCTTCAGATAAAAGAAGAAGCTGCTGAGTGCAAAGCTAAGCTGGAAGAGTACAAACAGAAACTGCAAGTGATGGACTTGAGAAACTCCCAGCAGCAAACAGGTCATGAATATGTCACTGGAGAGAATATCCAAGCAGATGCGACAAAACCTGCCCAAACAAGCGTAAAAAAAATACAGATCTCAGCAGACGGATCATGTGGAGATGCTGGAACAAAAAGGGTGGTGACAACGCTGGAGTCCAAACTCCCATATGTGCTTGTTTCAGCAAACCAGATATCAAATCCTCCTCTAAGTGGACCAGAAGACCTTTGGGAGTGGTGGACGCGATGGTCTCAGAGCCAAAATCCAACATCAGAGACGAAACATAAGATAGTTCACCGCTCTGAAATCACCATACAGTTGGGAAGCACCAGAGTTTAAGCACTCTGAAACTTCTAAACTCACATTCTTTTAGGTTTCATGGATACCTTGTTTAAAAGTGTGCAAAGGCATGAAGATGTTTAAATGTTCTGTACAGTGCTTTGCTCATAAATTAAACATAATACATCTTTGATTCTCATAAAATGTTTATTTCAATTGTTTCATTCAAGACCATTAACAAAAGTATGTAGAACCTTAAGGTTCAACACAAACTGAGGGTGCTCCAGAGAATATTCAAGAGTTATAGCTCCATTTGTCTTAAGAAGCACTGCAAATAGCCTCCATCCATGTAATCAAATTTCTTTGCACGTTTTTGAAATTTTACTCATTACACTTCCCCCATTTCTCATGTCCTGCATACATTTGTTTTATTCAGGTTCTCAAAAAGTCCACCCAAGTAAAAGCACACATTACCTAGAATATACTGCAACCCACAGGGGGGGGGAGAGCCACCCCACAATTGCGCTTATATTTTGGCGGCTGTTCGAGGATAGAGACACCAATTTTTTTTGTTTTTAGGCACCTTTTTCTTTATTTATTCATTAGCAGACATTAAGTAGAACTCAAAGGAAAAAAAGAAAAGTACATGTGCAAAGAAAAAGAGCTATATAAAAAGGACCGCAGGCTACAAAATGCCATTAGGAATTCTGCACTTGCCCATAAACAGACTGAGCTTATGAAATCAAAACAGGAATTAAAATAAAGGCTCTTTAAAAAGAAAACAAGCCAATGTAATTTGAAAATAATCAAAAATTTGTAATTTACACATCAAAAACCATACACAAGCGGGTTCTGAGCAGAGAGAAAATTTATTAAGTTTTCAGATCCATATTAAAACCTATGGAATTGGTATGGAAAACGTGAGCGAAAAGAACCTTAAAGTCACTTTATTTCTCAGCAGAAAGAGCCCAGCAATATCTCGACTTCACCTGGGTGAGAAACTCAACATGAGAAGGATTCAAGTGATACAGGAAGAATAAAGTATATATAACGGAGGTCAAAATACAGACAGGCAAAGCTACTCTAAAACAATAATTCACTCACACAGCAGCAGGTGCAGAATTCCTGGCATTTCAATTTCAGCAGAAACGAAAAACGGGTCAAACAGTGCCCACATCTCAATCTAAAGATGTGAGAACTACAAACCCCTTATATTTCCCCTCATATCCTCTGCATAACCTTACAAGTTTACATGTGATGCATACCACACACACACACGCTCATACAACACGAGGGGTTTTGCTCAAATTACAACCACACAAAAACGTCACACATACGATGAAGACAATGAGATGAGGATTTTTTTTTTTTTTTGCAAGGGATCCTGTGACAAAGGAAGGGAATTGTGTGTGATAATTTTCAAGTCTTGATGGGTTTGTTACTCTGTGAATTGTGTTTGTGTGTGAGAGAAAATGAGCGAACTAAACAGACACACAAATCCCTTCCTCTGCCCTCTGTCTGATTGCTTTTCTTCAAGGTGTTTCTTCCATAGTGAGGAGGCAGAAGAGAGGGGTGAACAGTACTCAGTCAGTAACACCAGGTTGGCGGGATTTCCTCTCTACATTGAAGCCCTGTAGGAACAAAAGAGGTCAATATCAAGATGTCACAATTGTTTTAGGCAAGTTTTATATCTGAAAGTATCCTGGACTGCAGTATTAGAAGCAAGAATGTTTACAAATATTTTCTAACCCTGCAAAAAGTTAGTTTTTAATTTAGACTCAACAATCAAGTTTATTTTTACCTTTGAATTGTCTGGGCCACGAGGCTGTCTGATAATAACTAGACGGGGTGCGTTGGTGTCATCAAGAGTGATGCTCTTCAAGCGATTGACCAGTCTGTCAGGTCGAGGTGTTGCTACTGGTTTTGGACCCTCACTGTGTAATAAAAAAAATAAAAAATAAAAACAAATAAAAAAAAAAACAACACACAAATCTGGTTAGATTAATTAAAAAGCCAATATATAGTGGTGTGAAAAAGTGTTGGCCCCCTTCCTGATTTCTTATTTTTTTTGCATGTTTGTCACACTTTAATGTTTCAGATCATCAAACAAATTCAAATTAGTCAAAGATAACAAGTAAACACAACATGCAGTTTTTAAATGAAGGTTTTTATTATTAAGGGAAAACTAAATCCAAAACTACATGGCCCTGTGTGAAGAAGTGTTTGCCCCCCTGTTAAAACTGTGGTTTATCACACCTGAGTTCAATTTCTCTAGCCACACCCAGGCCTGATTACTGCCACACCTGTTCGCAATCAAGACATCTCTTAAATAGGACCTGCCTGACAAAGTGAAGTAGACCAAAAGATCCTCAAAAGCTGGACATCATGCCGAGATCCAAAGAAACTCCGAAACAAATGCGAAAGAAAGTAATTGAGATCTATCAGTCTGGAAAAGGTTTTAAAGCCATTTCTAAAGCTTTGGGACTCCAGTGAACCACAGTGAGAGCCATTATTCACAAATGGCAAAAACATGGAACAGTGGAGAACCTTCCCAGGAGTGGCCGGCCTACCAAAATTACCCCAAGAGCACAGCGACGACTCATCCAAGAGGTCACAAAAGACCCCACAATAACATCCAAAGAACTGCAGGCCTCACTTGCCTCAGTTAAGGTCAGTGTTCATGACTCCGCCATTAAGAAAGAGACTGGGCAAAAAATGGTCTGCATGGCAGAGTTTCAAGACGAAAACTGCTGCGGAGCAAAAAGAACAAACGCTCATCTCAGTTTTGCCAGAAAACATCTTGATGATCCCCAAGACTTTTGGGAAAATACTCTGTGGACTGACGAGACAAAAGTTGAACTGTGTGTCCCATTACGTCTGGCGTAAAAGTAACACTGCATTTCAGAAAAAGAACATCATACCAACAGTAAAATATGGTGGTGGTAGTGTGATTGTCTGGGGCTGTTTTGCTGCTTCAGGACCTGGAAGACTTGCTGTGGTAAATGGAACCATGAATTCAGCCGTTTACCAAAACATCCTGAAGGAGAATGTCCGGCCATCTGTTCGTGACCTCAAGCTGAAGCAAACTTGGGTTCTGCAGCAGGACAATGATCCAAAACACACCAGCAAGTCCACCTCTGAATGGCTGAAGAAAAACAAAATGAAGACTTTGGAGTGGCCTAGTCAAAGTCCTGACCTGAATCCTATTGAGATGCTGTGGCATGACCTTAAAAAGGTGGTTCATGCTCGAAAACCCTCCAATGTGGCTGAATTACAACAATTCTGCATAGATGAGTGGACCAAAATTCCTCCACAGCGCTGTAACAGACTTGCAAATGCTTGATTGCAGTTGTTGCTGCTAAGGGTGGCCCAACCAGTTATTAGGTTTAGGGGGCACTTTTTCACACAGGGCCATGTACTTTTGGATTTAGTTTTCCCTTAATAATAAAAACCTTCATTTAAAAACTGGATGTTGTGTTCACTTGTGTTATCTTTTACTAATATTTAAATTTGTTTGATGATCTGAAACATTAAAGTGTGACAAACATGCAAAAAAAAAAAAAAGAAATCAGGAAGGGGGCCAGCACTTTCACACCACTGTAAATATAAAATATTTAAGAGCTCAATAATATCCTAATATTACACGTGACTCAGATTCACACCCAACAGTCTTACCTGACTCTGCGAACATTGCAGGCACTGCATTTGCCTGTGCGTTGGTTCAGGATAACCGAAAACTCCACTTCATCACCGGCCTGGAGCTCCAGACCATCCTGCACCTCCTTGACATGGAAAAACAGCTTCTTGCTCTCTCCAACTTCGTACGTGATGAAACCAAACTGGGGGGGAAAAAACAATACTTTTAGCCAGTGTCTTAATTTAAAAACTATTTAATCACTTTCTTGCATTATTAAGTTTACGGGGGGGGGGATAAAAGTTAGACACTTTTAGCCAGTTGTTTAAGGTAAAGCCTTCTCACTTTCTTGCATCAGTAAGTTTACCTGATCTTTGACGCACTCCACCAGGGCTCTACGCTGAGGCACAATATTGCAGGCCATATTTTGTCCTGTCTGGGCCACTGTACACAACTGAAACTTCACCATCTCACCCTTTTGCAGACAGTCACCTTTATTGGCCATACCAACGATGCCAAACGGATAACTCTGACCCTTGCTGGCTCCTAGAAATGTTTGAGCACATAACAGTAGTTTATTAAAAATGAGGGGAGTTCATGGTTTCTAACATGATTACAAAATGCTCTAGATGGGTTTTAAAAGTACCACACACACAAAAAGAGCTTGTGTCACTCACCTTCCTCTGTGATCTCAATAAGGCCTTGATAATCAGTCTGAGAAGGGTCCACACTGCGCAAGGACCGAACCACTTTCCCCAGGAACACGGTATTACTCACATCTTCTCCTACACCATTCACTGACACACACAGAGTTGTGTTATTTGTGTGAAACAAATATGAATGTATTAATGCCAAACCAATAAAAAGTCTCTGCAACATACCAGCTGCAACTTTGGTGACCTTCTCAGCACTGATTTTGTTTCCTTTGCCCTTGGATAGAGTGTACTCCACTGTATCTCCCAGGTCCATATTATCCACATCCCCACACACCTCACTGCACACAATTCATATTAAACAACAATCATCAAACAAGAAACAAAAACTATGAGGCAAAGCCATCAAGGAGAAACATTAATTACCTGTAGTGGAAGAAGATCTCCTGATCATGATTGGCTGTTTCTATGAAGCCAAAGTTATCCTTCAGTGTTGCAATGTATCCCAGAAGCCTCTTGGTGCCAACAACACGATTAAGGATCTTGAGGGACACAGCGCTTTGCTGTCCAGTGCGTTTTACCTCACTGATGGAGAACTCCACCTAGTGGAGACATGAGGGTTTACTTTACATCAAATTATTAAGTTGAAAAACTACTTTATTAGTCCAAGGGGATATTCAGCAAGCACAAGTAACACTGAGCCACAGTGCCAGTCTAACGTACCTTGTCTCCAACCTGTGGGTAAGCACCTCCCTCTAGGTCTTTAATATAGTAGGGAAGCGTGTTCTTCACTCCACTGTCTTCATACGCAATCAAGCCTTCCTCTGCATCCTGGTGACGACACAAATACATAAATTCACATAAGAACCAGCAACATTTAACAATATATACAGAACTAAGATGCTCAGACTCATATAGACTCGTGAGATGAACACTCGGGCTGTATGTCAAACTTTTTTGAAAATAAAAATACCACTGAGTGCACCTTCAAGACTGATTAAGTACACAAATTAGCTCTAGTTGTGAACTAAATTTGTATTTTTCTATTAGAGTCAGCGCTGAAGGCCAGTTTCAACATATCAGTCTGCAGATATTTGAGGACCATGTAAACAAGATTGTGTCTCTGGATCTCAGCAGCCATAAAACTCTTAGCTTGCCTTGCAGAATAAACATCCAAAAAGATGCAAAGCATGGGGAAAATGTGTAATCACACAATGAGTAAATAAAGAAACTCAAACATCTAATGCTTCACAATATTTAGCCATCATGCACACACTAACACAAGGGGTAAAACTGCTCTCATACAGTTTGTCACCCACTGTTTGGTACACATTTGTGCCATGGTTAAAATGTGTATGAACTGTGTGGTTCCCATCTTAAAAATGTATTGCATGGGTGACACAGAAACTGAACCGTTATACCCCTCATACAAGAATGCACACACCGAGTGGCACAGCTTGGCTGAGTTGGTATGGTTATGAGGTTAACATGTCTGTATGATTTAATGCTGTTAAATCAATCTCAGCTCATGCCAACAGACCTCATAACCAAACAAACAGTCATGAACATACAGATCAAACTGACCTTTTCAACTTTACCCTTAAAAAAAAAAAAAAAAAAAAAAAA